TTTCTGCATGGTCATCATGCTTGCTGTCGTATGTAGATAGATTCAGATTTGAAATTGTGTTGGCAAAGTCGCTATCATCCTTTCACTAGTTGTTTGTGTACATAAATTTGAAGTTCAAGCATTATTCACTATGTACAGTAAACAATACACATGCACTTATATGATCTGCTTTGTTGTACAGCATAAATGCTTTATTGTTGCTACATGTGATCGAGATCTGAAGCGAAGAATTCGCAAGGTAAGACTACTTAGTCATTAGATAGGCAGTGTATATAATCTTGAACTTTGGTGGTTGAAAGTTGATTGTTATGCAGATTCCGGGTGTGCCAATCATGTTCATTACTCAGCACAAGTATTCAATTGAACGGCTTCCTGAAGCAACAATTGGTGGAGGTACGTTAAATTTTTTTTAAGCCAGATTGTTAATATATATATATTTATATATATATTGTTTTGGATGGTGGGAAATTCCAGTTTGATTTTGAGTGAGTTCTTATCTATGGCAAAGTTAGCAAAATAACCATGTTGTGTCTTTGCCCATTCGGATTCCTTACAACTTAAGCTTTCGGTTATGCAGCTCCAAGAATCTGAAGAGCAAAGATATACCTTTGGTTGAATTGAGTTTATTAGCTCTGCCTTCTCAATAGAGGGTTAAAACCTTCCTCTAGTGAAGTCAGTAACCCCATTAAGGAGTATCAACAATGCATGATTATTGTGCACCTTACAACCAGTGCTAATTTATAGTCTTGTTTAATTTACAAAAACACAGGTTCGGATTCTAAATCCATGTTTTGATCATTGTGTTCAAGGTGTCATTTGATTTACCATTTACGCTTCTCATTCATACTTCACCATATGGAAGTCTTTGATTTAGTTTATTAACTTTATATATAAGAACACATAGTATACGTTGGTTTGAGGCAACTGAGCTTGTCACTATTAATGAGCTGCATGTTCTCCAATTCAGAATAGGTCTGTTTGTATGACCCCAGCCACTGGTATTATAATGAAAGACATCAGGGAATGCAATTAGTCAGAAGTCTTCTTACCCAAGATTATGGAGGTGAATGATTAATGCCATAAGAATACAAAAAGAAACTAACTAGTATACAATTGAGGAATTATTGAATATCGATGACCGGAAGGATGCTGTTAGCTACATACAAAAGCAACTCATATCTAGAATACAAAAATATATGCATCCTTTCTGACAATATATATATATATATATATATATATTCAAAAATCAAAGAATGATAATATTTGACTTAATGTGCGAAACCCACATGAAACTAGTTAGATATTACTATAGTTGAGTTTGAATTATCCTGTTCTTCTGTAAGGGGTTTCACTTACTTCCCTAAAGCTTTCTGATGATACCGTTTTCTCATTCTGGCAAGTTTATCTTTACTTCTTTGCTTCCTCTTCTCTTTCTCTTTATTGCGAAGATTCCTCTCTCTTTCGAACACTCCTTGCCAGACAACCTCGCCAGTTGATGGCCATAACCATCGTCTCTTGGGGTGGTCTGAGTCTGCCTCCTCAGCCAGGTCCTCATCCATTCCTTTTAAGGTAGAGAATGTGAACCATTTGACCCACATTTTACCTTGCCGGTTCTTCAACTTGTAATATTCTTGCATCACCCCAGTCTCCGGATTCACATATACCATCCGCCGTGCACTATGGTAAGCCCAAACATTTACAAGTAGCTCAAGCAGCCGTGAATAACAATGCTTGTCCTGTGGCATGCAAAATTAGTACTTCAAACACCATAAATGAAATAATTAGAAAGCTGCATTGACTCAAAATGAAGATAGTGTCGTTGATTCAAAAGCAATTTCTATTTTTAATAAAGTGGCAACGAGGAGCAACAATATTATGTAATCAGTCGTCTGCACCATTCACGATGGAATTATTAACCCTATCATGGATTTTCTTGACAATATACCATAATAGGAGATAAACATGTCTTCCCTGAAAGAAGATGATTATCTCAGTAGGTGCAGGTTACCTTAGAGAGACTTAGATAACAGCGGTCACTTTGATGGTGCACATCATACATTAGTGCATCCAAGGCATCCACAAACATCCTGCAAGCGGACATGATTAGTTCAGTAAATAAACTCTGATAGGATAGGCTCATCTAAAGTTCTACAATTCATACAGGAAAGCCTTCAAAATACACATACCTTGAGAACATGACAAATTCTAGGAAGGACCTTGTTGGTAAGGCCCAACTCTGCATGACGGACCACGTACCATCTTCAGGCATTGGTGGCAAAGAATTCAAATCTAGCTCTACGCCATACATTCTTTTAAAGGCCTCAGAAAATGCAAATCTGGAAGGAAACCAGAGCGAGAAGCAAAGTAAGTTTCCCAATAGCAGCAAGAAAGAATAACACAAGTTTTTGTTGAGTTCCTCTAGGTTATCTAGTGAATAATAAAGTTATGGCCCTTACGTGCAATTTCCAGCATTTATGGCATCACAAAATGACCAAAAATCATGTTGCAAGTTGTTTCTTGGGTCCATGTCCATGCGAACCCAAAAGTAGAGAGTGTCACCATGCTTTCGTGTTTCAATGGCATTCAACAATGCACTTTCAGCGACCTTAGACAAGGATGCCTGTGACCCAAAATTTGATATGAATAGTGTCAACAGTTTAAAGTGGAGCTGAATAATTTCTCTGTCCATCCATTATTCTCTTAATGATCAGGAAACAAAGGAGAGTTTAACATAAGGAAAAATGAGAGAGACAACAGAAAGCAATACTGCACCTGCCTCGCTGTTGCTCTCCAAGACTGAAATCCTATCCAGGCATTCTTGTGTAAACGGTCAATCCGGTAAGCAATTGCAAAAAAGGCCCCATATTCGCCAAGGACATCTCGAAAGTAGGGGTCGTTAAGTAGTGGCAGACGAGAGGGTGCATCAATATCGCCCATACCTGGTCTTCGACCTCTGGTGGACTACAATATCCAATCCATGTATTAATCAGATAATGGAAGACTTATAATGCTGATCTATGCATATTCACCTGGCCTAAACACCATATACCGTCTTTACAATTTCAATAAATGAAGCCATTGGAAACTCAACTTCATTTGTTTCAGCAGCCGACCAAGTTTATCAGTTGCTTTTGGGTAGAAAGATATTGAAAAGGAAATCAATCCAAGACAAACATATCTCTAAGACAAACTTCTCAGAAAAAATTCCAATTCATTTCCCTGAGTTCCATCAAGGGGCAAGGGTTCTATCATACTGGCAACATAGGCGTTATCTATCCAAGCATGTATTTTAAGATTCAAAAACCAGTTTCTTCTAATAAAAATAAGGGGAGGTGGGGGAGGGGGAGGAATGCCTTTTTTTTTTTTTTAACATGCATGAAAAACAGGTAAGGATACTTAGGCTTACTAACTCACCAATCCAATTCCATGATAAAGTGAATTATTGTGCAGGAAGGGCCAAGTTCCAATGCCATAATAAGGTTCATAAATACACAATGGTTGGCCTGTCCTCTGAAGCTCTCCCTCATCCCTTTCATGCAAGTCATTCTTATTGTGGCCAATCCTCTTGGCAGTTCGATATACATATTCCCATGTTCCACGCGGTTGATCAGTTCTATCTTTTAACTGCATTGTATTTGAAAGAACATGAAGTTTTATACAGAAAAACTTGAAGAATGGCCTATGAATCGTTCAAAGCATGCTTATAGATAAAATACTACTATCCACAAGAACTTTTACCTCTTCTTCCTCTCTTCTCCTTTTAGTAGTCATGATCTGTATATTTTTTACTTCCTGCCAACTTTCATATGAAAATGAATCATCCACTGCAGTTAATGAACGAGAGTGTTCTATTTGACTATGGCTCCACCGCTTCTCGATGTTCTCCAAAAATTTAAAACTTCTCCAAGTTCTGTCTTCATACGTTGAGTTTATAAAAGCTTCAAATAGATTCCAGAGCCATTCATTTTTCAATATGGGAGGGATATTTTTAACAGCCTTAGGAGGTGCAGTTTCTGATGGGAGCTTGACAACGTCTTCAAGCAACAAAGCATAACCCTCAACAGTGTCCAGAACCATCATATTTTTAACAGTTTCTTTACCTTTCAATGCAATACTGAGTGCCTCAGATGATAATTTCCAATTTGAGATTACTTGCAATATGATCTGGGTAAGAACCGTAATATTCTCCTTGGAAAAAAGATAGCCATTGACTCTGTCATCAACCTAGTCAATATTGCCAATACATTTAGAAATTCATAATATAGACATGAATATCGCAGAAGAGGAAACAACTTCTCGAAGCATACATGTTTTCTGATGCTGGGGAGATCTGGAGCTATAATTGGTTTCCCAAGACTCATGGCTTTTGTCAAAATTTCTGGAAAAGATGGCTCCTCAAGGAAGGATCCATGTATCACAAGGCTAGCCATGCTAAGAACACCATCGACATCTCCATCAAAAGCTACATGCTTGACCACACCTCCAGGGTAGCCCAAGTTAAAAGCAATGCACTGTGGTAATAAAGAACATCAAAACCACACAAATCAATGATAAGCACAGGAAATTCCATCAAAAGATAAATTGAACTGCAGAGTCTCCTGGCAGTACTTGTACCATACCTCAATAACCATACCGTAGTTACTAGTCAACTCACCACTTAAGACAATGATTTCAGCCTGGGAATTCGTATTATTAGCAAAGAGTGGAAATAAAGCTTGTAAAATGAGTGCATGCTCCAACCACAAACCCTTGTAGGAAAATTGATTTCCTACAACAATTAGAAAATCAGGCCCAAAATCCATTGCAACACGTGGATTATCTACATCTAACTTCATTCCTGTTTTTGCTTTCCATGCTTCAGCAGGAGAACCAGGAACAACATAGTAGTTTCCGGTATCAAATTTAGAATAGATCATCTGCAATGAGTACAGAAAACAAAATCAAACTGCTGAAAGTAAACCAAGCCTCAAAGCAACTTTTTAAACTTTGAATTTTTAGGTAACCATGCCCATGTCATACCATTGATAACTAACAGATTTTCTAGTATATTTGAGCGTGATTAGCAAGTTGAATCAAATTAAAATGTTATTAATTTATTCTTCCATGGAAATGTTCTTTCTTAATTAAAGGCAACTAAATTATACTGTGTATTATTTTCTCTTTCAATGGTATCTCTTGATTATTGGTCTGACCTTGAAAAGCACCAAGTTTAAATGCCAAATTTAAATATAGTCCTGGCTTGTTCATTGCTCCTAGTTGTTAGGTTTCTATTGTCTTTTAGCAGTAAAACTGTTAGTATAAGATAGAACCGGAGCTTCATTGTGAAAGGCAAATAACATGAAACAACCAAATAGAGAAAGATGGAGCTATATTACGAGATTAAGGGAGAAATAAAATGATTAACACCATAGATTTGTCAAGTACTGTATCTCTCTGTCTTTTACTTTTCTGACAGTATATATCATAAATAAAATTAACAAAATGTCAATAATATCCAGAAGACCAAAAGACCATCTAACAATTATTACCGGGAGGGCATAGTTTTGGAAGACAACAACAGTAGCACGGTTGAAGACTTTTTTCCAATCATTCATAAGTGCAGTTTGCCCACTTGAAGCATATTCTCTTGAACGAATAGCTAGTGTTCGTTCATGGATAGTCCATATAACAGGTACAGATTTGAAAGGTTCCTGCATGAGACTGCAACAAGTAAAGATGTTTAATGCCAAAGACTTGGACACGCAACTTTTGCAAGAGCTCTTTATGGAGGGCAAAAAATTCAGATTAAACTACACAACCTACCTAGAAATGATATCCTTGACTTCAAGAGAACAGATAAGAATGCCATCATAGCTGCCAAAAGAATAAATCATAATTACATACAACCAAAAATAATATGCTTAAAGCACAAAAAAGGAAAAGGAAAAGGCACAACATTTGGAGGAAAAATTGACAAGCCATACTGTCTTAGTGCAAATAACTCCACGGGCGCGTTCACAAAATTTCTCAAGGGATTTAAATTGAAAGTAGAGAATGCAAGGATACATCACGATAGGCAGTGTTTATCAATTCCAGTTTCCAGACGATAATACTTCTGTTAACTGAACAAAAGGGCCCTCAAATCGTCTAATTTGAACATTTTTCATGAAAGCATGGATCTAAAAGTTGACTAAATAGATTTTTACAAGCAGAAACACATACTTGAGCCAATCAACAACAATCTCCACCTTGGCACCAGCTTGAAGAATGGTGACTGGAACTCCTAAGCTTTGCCAAATGTTAAGGACAGGACCATCTTTAAGCGAATAAACCTTCCAAAAGAAAATTAAGAGGCATGTAGTGTTAAGACTTAAGAGGAACCATCCATCTCACTTATGAAGCAAATGGTTGAGAAATATAAATGCTGTAATATTACGAATATTACTGTATGGATTAAGCAGCTTCACATAGCTGTTGGTAAATTCAAAAAACTGACTTCATAATAAAAACAATTAAGAACAATAAGGCAGACGCATTGAGCAATACTTGGAACAGTTGATCTCCAATTATGTCAATGGAAAAAGACGCTGCAAGGAACAACAATAACTCACTGCATCTAGTGAAGCTAATTCTTTTTCATTCAACATCAAACTTACAAAAAGTGAAACATCAAATAACTGAATGTTGTTACCTGGATTGCATAACCAAGCTCTCTCAATGCAGCTGCAACAGTCACCATTAGCAATTGTTGTGGATCAACTAATAGATCAGGAAACACCTTCAAGTGGAAATTTGAACCAAAAACAAATCATACAGAATGCAAGAACAGAGTTTAAAGAATCAAAAATATAAACATTATCAAGAGTCAAACAAGAACAGGGAATGAATGCAGCAAAATGAATCGAACTTATGAACTACTGACCAACGCGAGCTGCGGCTTTCTGTATTCAAAACGGTGCTGACTCCTGTTAAAAGAAGACGAAGATGACAAATGGACCTCACTACCTTCTCTCTTGAATTTCTCCAGCAGCTTCGTAGGCTCAATTCTGATATCTTCACCAAAATCGAATCCACCAATCTCCTTCAAACGCCTGAAATTCTCCGGAATCACCTCCACATCCTCCACCGAATCCTCCTTGAATTTCTCCACTACCGAACCAGGCAAAAACGTCTGAAAGAACGTTACGAAGACGAGGAAAACAAGGACGCTACAAATCCACTGGACGTAATCCAGCCTCTTGAACAAAAAAAACCGAGAGCATACCATCACCGTCCTGCTCAACGACGACTGCTTCCCGTTCCTGCTCGCCGCCGTCCTCATGACAGAAATTCCGGTCTCCAACGACCCCATTCACCTTCCCATAAAATCAACAAACAGCTCCAAAGAAATCAATCAAAAAATTGCATGCAAATCCGCATGAAAAAAAAAAACTCAACACCACCACCACCACCACTACCGCCGCCGACAGACATACAGCAGTCAATACAGTGAGAGGAGCAGAGATTGCGAATGCAAGATTCTTGTGAGCTGAGTAAAAAGGATTTGCTAAGGAGAGAGCGGTTGAGGTTGACGTCGTTTTCATTGGGAAATTTATTTATTTATTTACAAATTTACCGGAAAATTTGGAAATAAAGACCGGGATTACGGTGGGATTATGCTGAAATGGACGTGACAGAGAAAGACCGTACGACTACTGCCTGAGCTAGTGAGCTATATAAATTATGATAGAATATTTTTTTTTTCTGTCTTTAATTTCCGTTTCTTTTTTTTAATGAAAGTAAAAATACAGTAGAACAACATTGTAATAAAATTATGAAAAATAGTATTATTATAATATTATATATTATTTAATTTTATGTTATTATATATTATTATATAATATCAATTATATTATAAAAAAATTAAGTAAAAAAATGTTTTAAAATTATATGTTTTAAT